GCTGAAAAGAGGCAGATCACTACAAGTCTGATCCAGTAGTGAGACCCTGAACCCCCTGTAGACCCTCCCCAAAATACACACACAAAAAAAAATCAATAAAATTAAGGCATCACCCAGAAATATAATATCTCTAGTTCTGAGCTACAGGTATACACTGGTCTTTCTGTTAATTTGAAAGTACAGTTAGAGCAAGATACTAAAAAGAGTAACGTGAGTCTACGTGAGAAACAAATGCCTAGATCTTTCCTCTGGGATGCACTTTTGTCCTGCCATACACAGTATTTACTTTCCTACTTGTTTTAAATCAGAATTAAGAAAAAACAAAAAACCAAAGAATCATTAAACAAAGACAAATAAAAGAGGCATTTACACTTAAAAACAAATTTAGGGTAATAAATAAGGGTACCTGCTGAAATCTCTTTAAATGAAGAGTGAGCACAGGAGGAGCAAGAGAAATTAGCATTTGCTTTTTAGCATTAGTATAAACATGCTTCCTCTCACCTACAGAAAAGAAGAAATTTCAGCATGTTAAAATCATGTTTGACTTCCAGAAAATCATGTTTTGCTGTAATATGGTAGAGTGCTTACCTAGTATGCACAAGGCCCTGGATTTAATCCCCAGCACCACACACACAAAATAAACTTTTGTGAAGTGGAAGATCAGCAAGGTGGCTAATGATAGGTTTAAAATATTTAAAGCAAAGACCAGCAAATTTTTGTAAAGAACAAGATAATATTTCATGTTTTGTGGACCAAAAGGCAAAATCAAAGGTATTTTAAGAATTTAGATATGAGAAATTGTTTCACAAGTTTTTACAGATGAAATACAGTAACAGAGCTAGATGTAGTGGTGCACGCATGTAAACCCAGTACTTGGGAGGCTCAGGCAGAGGACTGTCTCGAGTTCAAGGCCAGTCTAAACTATATAACAAGTAGTTTCAAAGACAAAATATGCAGTAATAAGAGTGTGAACATATATATGCTATTAAACAAAGAATGGAATTATTTCTCAGGGTCACAGTATTTTGTTTAGTGTTGCAAAGTATTCACTACCCTATCAAAAATCATTCATTCATTTGTGAAAACCATTTTTGAGGTTTTCTTTCCTTGAGCTCAGTGATAAAGAGTCCTTACCTAGTATGCACAAGGCCCTGCATTCAATCCCCAAAACAACAAAAAAAACTTGTGAAAGATCAGCAAGGTGGTTAACTAGTGATGCCCAGAACATTTCTCACCACAAAAATGGACCAAAACAAAACATGAGCCAGACATGGTGGCACATGCCAACACTACAAAGGCTGAGACAGGAAGATCATTTTGAGTTTGAGACCAGCCTATATTACAAAGTGTGCTCAAGGCCAGCCTAAACTGCATAGTGAGACTCTGTCTCAAAAAGATTTAAAAACTCAAATAACGGAACTTAACAAAAAACGGGTATACAGATGTATGTCCATTTTGTATCTGTGTATTCAAAGTGGTTAGGATAGATACATAGTTACGTTCTCTTAATGAATAGAGTGATTTGTTCTAATGGTGTTTGTAAATAGGATATCATGTCCACATCTTGTACAGCAATTAACCACTAGGAAGAATGTATGCAATGTGTTAATTATTGAAACTGTCCTACCAATTTGATTTGAAACTATCTCACTGCTATTTACTTATCAATAAAATTATGGGGGAAAAAAAAGATTTAAGAAAAAAAAAAAGGAAAATTTGTTTAACCTCAGGAACTACCAAAAATAGGCAGAGAGTCAAACCTGACCAATGTCTAGTATACAGCAAACAAAACTCATACAAAATCAAAGCAATTTACTTTCTGTAAATACATGCACAGTTTTTAAAAGCTAGGATTTAAAAATACACTAACCACACTACTCAATATCCTTCATAGTCCACAATCCTTCCTTACACTACTTATCCAAAGTCAAAACAAGAGGCAAGAGGGGCTACAGGAAATTATCATTATCTCTTTGTCCCATATTTCAGGGCTGAAAGAAGGCAGGGTCTCCCAGCGTCTTACAGTGAGCACACCATACACTGAAACATTAATTTCCCGGGTGCAAGATGAAGTTCCTCTAGAATGTTGGCAGGTAACTGAGGGTGCCAAAACAGAAATAACCACTGTCAGGATGCTCTTTTATGACAGCACTCCAATGGGATGATTGACCATAGAGCTGTCAGAGAGCAAACTGCACTATGAACTGCTGCTGAGGGGCTGGTGAGATGGCTCAGTGGTCTAAAGCACCTACTAGGAACAAGCTTAGCAAAGCACAGGGACTGCGGTTCAATCCCCCAGCACCACATGCCAGACAGTCCCACCCCCTTGTGGGCTGAGCTGGCCACACACACACACACACACACACACACACACACACATAAATGAATAAATAAAAATTTAAAAAAAAAAAGAACTGCTGCTGAGACCTCAACAGCTACCTCAAGAAACTCCTTTCATATTTGTTAAAATATTTACACATGAGAACACTTATTCAAGCCATCCAATCCTGATACAATTACAAGAGTACCATGTGCCACATGTGTCCCTATTAGTTTTACTTATAATGAGAAAATTAAATACCTTTTATATTTGCCTTTTGTCCACTATATTGTCTCCGTGTGCATACTTCACACAGTAGTTTATTTGCATCTCGGAGTTTCTCATTACGAGTGAACTGATATAAACAATGTTGGATTGAACATTCATCAGTACTGAAAGCTTCCCTGTTTGCAAGAGTATAAAAAGCAGTTTCTGGATCTTCATTAACAACCTCATACAGCTTTGTCACAGGAACATGACCATCATTCAGAATCTCTATGTCTATTTCTTCAGGTTCAAGAGCACCATTTAAGTTAAGGTGTTTGAAATCACTGGAAATGTCCACTTCACCACTGCTCTCTTTCTTCAGACAGACATCATCTGAAGTCCTAGCACAGTCAGTGGAAGATGTAAAATCCTCTAGATCATTATTCATGTTGACATTTATTATATCTACTTCTTCTATGGTTTTCTGATGATCAGTTATGCTTCCTATTGCTTTTTCTTGGCCATTCAAATCTTTCTGATTAACACAAAATTCTTCATAAGCAACTTCCTCTTGTGAGATATTGGTGGATTTAATATCCATTTCTTCCTGAAGTGATGTTTCAGCCTCACACGCATTATCTTCAGGCTGGTCAACAGTATAGATATTATTTACATGAAGAACTTTTCCTTGAATTTTTTGTTGCCTTCTTTCATTCTGTATAAAAAATATAACACATTTTAAAAAGGGAAAAAAAAAAAAAAAAACAAAGAGTTAAGAGAAAGTAAGATTAGAGCACCCTTCTTGTTTCCTGGCTCCCCATACTGTATTCTTCCTACTGTTAATGTACTTGACCCTGTGCTCACTTCGGCAGCACATATACTAAAATTAGAACAATATAGAGAAGATTAGCATGGCCCTTGCACAAGAATATACTTGACCCTATCACTGATGAAATGAACCAGATAACAGTCTCTCCTCCAATGGAGGGTGAGAATAAAATATAGCAACAGACATGCACTACATCAAGTTTTGCTGGTAGCAATCAAAAATGAGTAATTTCATAAGAAATAATTCATTTTCAGAATCTCATCCTAAAAGGTCCTTTTATTATGTTTTCAAATATATTATTTTTATTGAGAAATATGAATGAGACAGTTTCACAGCTGATTAATAGGATCAAATAAATTATGAAGAAAAAGTTTTTAAATGAAACCAGGAATAAATGGCCAATTATCAAAAATTATTCCACTGGAGCTGCTTCTTTCTTTTGGCTCTTGTTGTTTTGCTGTTTTCCACCACCATGAATTGTTGCCCTCTGCCATCTGCCACCCTGCCTTGGAGCCAAACAAGTATGGACTGAAACCTCCACAAACTATGAGATATACAAACCTTTCCTTCCTTAATTTTGGCATCAGGTATTTTGTCTCAGCAACAAGACAAAAGCAACCAAGACAATAACACACTAAAAAATTAAGAGTCCAAAAGAGAAAGATGTAAAGAAAGGTAGCAACTAGATAGGACTCTAGCAGGCTAAGGCAGGAGAATGACAAGTTCAAGCCAGGCCTGGGTATCTTATGAGACCCTATTTAAAAAAGGAAAGGCCTGGAGATGTAGCTCAGTGTGAAAACCTGACTTCAATCCTGTTGTTATGGTTTATGGCTGGGTGACCCTACCCCCAAGCCTCATGTACTCATGAGGGAGGAGATGGGATCACAGGAACATACTACTTATCAGTAGATTAGTTCACAGGTAAATGTGATGTTGGAGGTGGAGGCTGGCTGGAGGAGGTTGGTCACTGAGGGCATGTCTTAGAAGAGTATCTCTTCTTCTCTCCTTCCTTAATCGCTCTCTGCTTCCTGCCTGCAAGGCTCAGGAGGTTTCACAAGGGAACAAGACTACACCAGAAGTTTTGGATGCCAGACCATGTGTTATACTTTGCAATTTGCTTACAACCAGTCACTTTGCAGGACACTGAGATTAAAGGTGGCAGACAGTTAATCTGGAGGAAATTTCAAGGCACTCAAATATTCAGGCTATGGCTGGGTACTGTTGGGGGCTTTTAGCTAGCTCTACATCATGAGTCAAGAGCAAAGAGCCCAGAAGGATGATTTTTAAAGTGTTAAGCTTGCCCAGAAAGAATGCTCCAGTAAAGTTTGGGCCTGTAAAGACAGAGTGGAGAATATGGTTGCTGAAAAGATTAGAATTAAAAAGAAGCCAAGTACTTTGGAACAGAACCATGGAAAAACCTTGGGGAATGTAAGAAACGAGTAAAGCTCCAGCCTTGACAGACTCAAACTTTGCTTTGAGCAAAGAGCCCCAGAGGGCCATACTCTAGATAGAACGGCAGCAGCAAGATTCAGTTCATGTGCTCAGCCATCCAGCGACTCGGAGGCCTCAGCAATAATCAGCAAGGAGCAGAAGGGCTCAGCTACTCACCAGCTGAGTCAACCTTGGTGCCATCCAGATGGTGCTGGTTTAGGCGCACACAGAACGCAAGAGTTGTAGTTAGGGAAGCTTCTGCAAAGACTTCAGAATTGGGCCAGGGAGGCCAAACAGTATACCCTCAAGCAGGCCATAAATAAAGCTGTGAGGGTGAAGTCAACATGCAGAAGAGATCTCAGGATGTTGGAGATGCCATGTACATGGAATGTCTGTAGAAAGCCACAAGGAATGAGCAAAGCTGACCTTAGGCCACGAGGGCTGTAACGACTGACAGTCACAGGAGCAGGGCCTCCTAAGCCCTGTGTCATTCACATCTCAGCACAATTTTCCCAGGGTGTTGGACATGGAACTATAGAATTTAATGTGTGCCCTGCAGGGTTTCAGTCTTGCTTTGCTCCCATTCCTTCCTCTTCCTCTATTTCTCCCTTTGGAATGGGGATGTTCACTCTGTGCCTTTGTATGTTCCAGTGTTTATTTTTACAGGGGCCACAGGTGAGTTTTCCTTCCAATCTCAGAAGAGACTCTGGACTCCAACTTTTCAGCAATGCTAAAACTGTCAGGACTTGAGAAATTCTTAGAGATGGATTAAATGCATTTTGAACTTAAAAAAATCATTCCAGGGCCAGTGAGATAGCTCAGAAGACTAAGCTCCTGCTTAGGCAAGTGCAGGGACCAGGGTTTGATCTGTGGTACCACACAATGCCAGCCCCAACCCTGGGCATGCTGAGCTAGCCAGTGAGACCAGGCATGGTGGCAGATGCCTGTAATCCCAACACTGGACAGGCTGAAAACAGGAGGATCACTACAAGTCCATGCTACATAGTGCGACCCTGTACCAAACACATTAATACATACATACATATATAAAAATTATTCCACTGGAAAAATTAAAATGTATAAGCATGATCCCTGTTCTAAGAGAAATGACTTAGATGGTATTACAACTTTAAGCTGGCCTCTTCACTCCTGCAGCCCATTATTGGACCATGAGGAGGCTCTGACTGCACATAAAACAGATAAAATATATTCATATGAGTTATAATTATTGGGTCAAAGTTTTGCTGAGATTAAAAAAAATAAAAACTCAATGATGCACATAGATTGGACTGATGTGGACAGGATGGATGAAACATTATTCTAGGAATAATATTAACAAAGTAAACAAAGTAACAGTCACAGAGACAAAGGACAGCAAAGGATCTTCCCATCACCCTTTTTGCCATTGTAGCCTACTTCTTACTACAGACAGATAAAGGCATTTCACAAAATTCCTGTTACTAGATAACCTAAAGACCCAAAGGGTTTAGCATTTTTGGTTGCAATGTAACCTGTAATTCCAGAAGGATAAAGACACACAAGCCACAAATACCTCCTACTGCCATATCTCTAAAAACACAGGAACACAGAAAAAATGGGGAAAGGATATAAGAGAATAATTCAAAAAAATAAAATGGCTCTGACAAAAATATGCTCAACTTCAAATATGATAAATTTGAAATAAAAGTACAGATTAGGCAAAATCTGAAAGTTTGCTAGCACATGTCTGTCAACAAAAGAAGCTGAAGTCTCAGATACTGCTGAGATGAACACAAATTGTATACTTGTGGAATACAGCTAAATAATATCTACCAAAACTATAAAAACAATCCTCTTCTCAAAATTTTCCCTACAGATGGCATAAGTACAGGGCTATTAGTGACACAACATTGGCCATCATAGCAAAGGCTCCAATCAAGTTCATTCAATAGAGAAATGGCTAAAAAAATATGGTACATTCATGTAAAAGAATGCTATGGTGGTGAGGGTGATGATGATGTTGGAAGAGGAAAAGAGAAGAAAGAAGAAAAAAGGTGGAGGAGAAGGGGAAAGACTGGTTGTAATGTATTCTGTAATTCCAGGATAAAGACATACAAGCAGCAGCAGAAGAGGATGAAGAGGAAGAAGAACCTTTGTGTTGTGAAATGGAAAAGTATCTAAGAATCCAAGTAAAAATAAACTAACAGAAACCAGGTCCACAAGAGTGTGCAG